GGAAGGAAGGAAGGAAGGAAGGAAGGAAGGAAGGAAGGAAGGAAAGAAGAAGTTATAAAATTATAGTACATAGAATTGTGGGAAATTAAATATATTAGTTTATTGAATCATTATGTCAATTATTTCATTTAACCCTAATGGCAGCCCTGTGCAGTATTAAATAGTAAGTATTTCAGCCGTCCCAGGCTGAGCTGCTCAACTCTGTCATTTTATCATTAAAGCAACCATAGATAATACGGAAATGATTGAGTCTCATTAGGTGCTAATAAAACTTTATGTTTGAACTTCCTATTTTAAAGTGATTTCAGTTTTCTAAAAAACGTGAAGGGAAATACACGTGGATTAAACCTTTGGTTCCTCCTCCTGACCGTGGACTAGGGATGTGAGCAGCCTTGCTGTCGTGCAGAATGAATTGGAAAGTGGATTACTGCAGATAGATGCAGTTCAGTTAAAAGTTAGCACCTTATCATTTGATCTCTCTTATGATCCATTTAAAATTTGTCTTAGTTCTTAATATTTTCGATTGAAGCTTTATCTGTTATGCTTTTTCATTATTGTTAGGTGGTTTACAAATGTTTTTCTGCATGTGAAATCCAGGAGAGGTAATCTATAGAGACAGTCACTGGATTCATGGTTCCTTGTGGGTATAGCAGGGAAGGTTGGGGGGAAATGGCGAGCTAATAATTCTGAGTACCATAATGAAGAAAATGCTCTAAAACGTATTGTAGTGATGATTTTAAAACTCTTCTTGATGTGAGTGAATTATTGAATTATATAATATGTCAATTACATGCCAATGATACTTAAAAGGAAAATTTTAAAGAAAACTTTATATATGAACGGAACCCTGGAATTTAATTTGTTTTATTTTCAAAAATACTCTTTAACTAGATTAACTAGATTTAATTTAACTAGATTTTAAAACCATTTACAAATGTTAAAACTATTCTTGGGGGTGGGGGACACCAAACTTACTGCCAATAAATGAATTTTGACTCATAGTGACCTATGGACTAAAGTAGAACTGCCTCTGTGGGTTTCCAAGATAGTAACTCATACGGGGGTAGAAAGCCTCACCTTTCTCCCTCGGAGAGCCTGGTGGTTCTGAAATGCTGACCTCATGGTGACTAGCCCAACATGTAATGTTTAGTCCATTATACCACCTGGGCTTCTAAAACCAATCTTAGCGCGCGCGCACACACACACACACACACACATACCCATACCCCAAGCCCACTGCCACTGAGATAATTCCACTCATATCATGTTGACCCTACCTAGAGGGTTTCTGACATTGCAAATCTTTACGGGAGTCAATAGCCTTATCTTTCTGCAGCAGAGAAGCTGGTGAGTTGAACCCTCACCTTGTAGCTAGCAGCCCATCACCAGGACACCTCTTGCTCACAAGCTATGAAAAATCCAGACTGCAAGCTGTTTGTTGTAACACAACCTGTAAATGATATACTCAGACAGAATCCAATGGCCGGATAATTAAAAAACAAATCATTATATGCTACAGCTAGAGTCAGTAAAACCTTTAAGACCCCTCCTTGGATATCAATTTATATCAGCATATAACCAAGTCTTAGATGCAAAAAAAGAGGCCATTAAAATGGACCATTCCTAAAGGATAGCAATCATTTGTTACTGGTTGGACTACATCAAGGGTTGGGGTAGGTGCTGGCCATGAAGAAAACCCTCATCTCCGTAGCTGTCCTCGGTTCCCAGCAGCGAGCAAGCAGGCATAGGCAGGCTAGTCACCAGTTGCAGTCAGGACACAAATAGAGTGCACTGAGGAATGAAACCTAAAGGGGGAAGGGACATTTTGGGGTGCCATATAGAGAACCAAGACTGAGAATCTGTATCAAGAGATATTTTCCAAAAGGGAGAACCTTCGGAAGGAGGAATAGGTGAGCAAAATAACATCAAGGAGCAGTTCTGTCCCATAAAGTCTCCAAAGTTATCCATCCGGATGGAGCAATCGGCCACATCTTTCCCCCATGGAGAGACCCCAGCCCACCCAGACACAGGAAGATCTTAGCATAGCTTGAATTCCTTTGCTATCTCAGAGTAATTGCTCTGTATCAACTTGGTAGCAGTATGTGCACCAGAGCCGCTACTGGCACGCAGCACCACTTCGAGCTGTGTCTGATGCATGGTAGCTAGTCCGATGCTGTTAGCTTTCCTTCTCATAAAGAGGCTTGTTGGGGCGCTGGTGAGCACATGGCTGCTAACAGATAGTTTGAACCCATGAGCCGTTCTGTTCCAGAAAGATGGTGGTGATCTGCCTCCATAAAGACTTGGGAAAGCTGTGGGGCAGTTCCCCTCCATCCTCAATGCTCGCGGTAAGGAATCAGCTCAGCAGCAACAGGCTTGGTTATCTTGGTGTTTCTTCTTCAGGCGGCTGCAGCAGCAAGAAGTTCAGTGACATCAGAATGTTCCAGAAGGGGCTTGAGGAGGACTAAAACCGCAACTGATGATCGATTTCTTCTTTTCTTTTAGCTCAAAGTTCAGCAGTAAGATTAAGTATGTCGGTAGCCTATCTGAACTCAGCGGACTGATTCCAATGGATTGCGTTCATATTCCAGAGAGCATTGTCAAGTAAGTCTGTGGGGTAGATGGCCCGGTAAGGAGCGGTACGTGCTTGGAGAAGGAGCGAGGGTGTGATGGAGAAAAAGCAGTAGCTTATTTTTTAAACAAAAGTGAAATGTCTTCCAATCAGTATGCTTTCTCTACCCTGCAATGAATATGCTTTCTCGTATACCCTACACTTAACTGCTTTGTTGCTTTCCGATCTCGTACCTTTCTTTGACCTTTTTTGTCTTTGTTATTTTTATTATTGCTAATTCTCACCATGAATTTTTACGTTCATTTTTGAGAAAGCACAAATTTAACGTTAACCAGAGCACCTGGTCCTCGGGGCCCCTGCAGCACAGTAGGATCTTAGCATGGCTGGGATTTCTTCACCATCTCAGAGTTTGTCTGTGTTTTCTTCTAAACCCGCTACTGGGTGGCTTCCCTTCAGGCACAGCATTAGACAGATGGCGTGTGCTCTGTGGTGGCTGGCTGCTTGGGAATGATTTCTTAGCTCCACGGGGGTGAATTACCCAGCAATCACTTTTGCTCCACATCAGCCCCATCACAGCCTGCAAGAGGAGGCATAGGCACGGAGGGACTCAAGGTTGTACTCAAGTAATACAAATGAAAGCTAACCGCTTGCAGCTGAGACGGGCAAACACAGGAGAATGAATTCGCATCTTTGGTTCATTGTTGCAAAGACCCCTTGTCTCGATCTATGGTGTCGTTCCTTCCACTTTGTGTGATTCCTCGTTCTTGGTTGGCACGAGAGCTGACAGCTTGGGAAAACAGGCAGCTTCCCTCCACCTTCTTCCACAAGCTGGATAACAAGTGGACTCCCGATTTGGGCTTCCAGAAAAAGGAATCCCATGATTTTTAAAAAGGGCCCAGAGCTGGATGGACAAGGACTCTCGTTGACTGTGTTGTGGTGGACATAGAGTTACTCTGTTAATAAGATGTATTTCATCCCCATGGTAAACTCCCATTTTGCTGATGAAGGGGGAAATTTTAATAAGGAGAATTTACTTTTGCAAAAACACAAGGCCAAGGAGAAATGGAACTAGGATTCAAATCCAGGACAGCTCAGCTCCAAAATCTCCATGCCTTTTTCCCTCCTTAAATTTGCTTTCTTAAATGTATGCAACCACATTCAAACCTTGGGATATCCTGTTTCCCCGAAAATAAGACAGTGTCTTATATTAATTTTTGCTCCCAAAGATGCGCTAGGTCTTATTTTCAGGGGATATCTTATTTTTCCATGAAGAAGAATATAGTACACATTTATTGTTGAACAAAAAAGAGGAAATTTATTACCTGTATACGGTACGGTAGTAGTTGTCATCACAAACCAGCATAACCAGACAAACTGTGAATCCTACAGTATCAAAAATTTCTTGTTACTACCATTATTTCATGTACAACAATCTATGGTACATTTACTCATAATCTATGGTACATTTACTCATAATCTATGGTACATTTACTCGCACCTCCTGTCTGCTCC